AAAGCAAGACAGCAACAATCACAGAATAAACCTCTTGCAATGAACTAAGCAGCAATAATAAATATGTATTGAATACTACCTGAATGTGTGTATGATGCAAATATATTAGCAATAAGATTTTTCCTAGAAAGGCTTAAAGAAGCCAAAAGTTACTCAGCTCTTACATGACCTTAAAATATTTTCGTGGTCATCTCCAGCTAAGCCATTTATTTACCTACAACTTTTTTATGTTACAGAAATGCTAGGATGGCATATTGTTATTTAATATTTAGACTCGCTCTTCTCGCTGAAAGGTCCACACACTACTATTTATGGTGTCGTTTAATGTGCCAGCTACATGGGAATAGTGGTCAGAGGTGACTAAAACCGTCCAAACTGACAAATCAAAGGTGATGGATTGGTATTAAAGTGCTCCTGAAGCTCACTAGCTCCACTCGTCCAAATCCCCCCACGCCCAGCGTTGCTATGACTACAAGCTCTTGGAACGGTTGATGTGCAGGAAGCAGAGCAATCCTCTCCCTCAAACTCTGCATCTCCAGACCCTCTGCAGATTCAGTTGGAGGTGACTGGGACCTGAGAAAGGAACAACAGGGAGTATATGCTAACATTTGAAAGCTAATCTACATCTTGCATCAGGCTTAAATAGAAGCTACATATCAGTGTATTTTGGTAATTTGGACACTCACATGAAGTTTCTTCTCTCATCACTTCTGGAGAGCTCTTCCACATATTCCTTGAGGGAAGCCTGGAGCTCCTCATATGTTCCAACCATTTGGTTGAAATTGCTATAAGATATCAGTTTAGATATGTCTTTTAAAATAAGCACCAACATAACATTGTATCACTAAAGTAAAAAAAAAAACTTTACTAGACAGTTGTCCATTCAATATCCAAATTTCTCGTACACAGGATGACTATGGCACATTGGTTTATACTTAACGGCATGTAGATACTCACTCTCTGTCCACCACCAGGCAGTGAGTGTCATTCTCATTGCAGATAATGTTGGCAGAGCGGACATCCTCACTGTAGACAAAAACGTGCAGTTCAGCAAAATTGTCCCAATGCAAACCAAATATTTACCCCATCTGACAAGTACGGCTAGTAATGACTTGCAACCTCAGAAAAGAAAGCACCCTACTGTATATTTAGGGGTCCAAAGACTTGGTACTTTCAGATTCCAATTTGTTCTCTTAAACAGACGTACTTGTGACTTGTCATGGTTCACCAATTATTCTCCCCAGCAGATTAAATAAGATTAAAACCAACATGAGAACTACAGTGCTGTGTATGGCTCCAGGCAAGAGGAACAGTACCCTCAAATTTATTGTGACAAGCCTTTCAGGGAAGAAGTGCCTAAAGATATTTCTGGTACTCTCAAATTGTCACGTCTGGGGGAATGTCTGGTGTGTTGTCATGTCTTGATTACCTATTGTGTTCACCTGGGGTTCCCCTCCCTCATGTGTTTAAATAGTCCTCGTTTCCCATGTCCTGTGTGGCCAGTGTGTTTTCGTCTTTTTTCTCCCCACGTCATGTAAGGTTTTGATTTTTCGCACTTCGCCATAGCCATGATTTTTTGTCACAGCCATGCCATAGCCTTGTTTACTGTTTTTGGTCATAGCCATGTTTTTTACAGTCATGTTTACTCTTACTTTGATGCTTTGCCACAGTTTTGTTAATCTGTATTTGCCCTTTGCCATAGCCATGTTTATTGTATTTGATACTTTGTGTTCATAGTCATGTTAACCTTGCTTTGTCACTTTGTTCATAGTTTTGTCACAGCCTTGTTTTGAACTTTGTCCCCATCCACTCCGTTTGAGTGAGTTTTTTGTTCCAAAAAACCCCTGTTCCTGAATCTCTCCGCGACTGAGTCCTCCCTTAAGATCCACACAAAGGTCCTCCTGTTGTACCCTTGTTTATGTTTATGCTTATGCAATTAGCTAACACTTCTATCCAAAGCAACTTACAAATTATACACAATGTTACGGTTATCAATAATCTGATAATCAGTTCTCTAGAGGAACATCAGGAGATAGAGGGAAGCCCAGAAGCTTCACTTTGGTTTTTGGAATCACACCAGGGACCATTTTGGTAGATTAGCCATGATTACCTTCAGTGCCTTTGATCAATTCATAAGCAAGTATGTGCACAACAGAGGGGAAAATGTTTGGGAACTCTAGGTCAGAAGATCAAGGCTGCACCATTAAAATGCTCATTTAAAATCTTCAAATGCCTCCATCGATATTTGTACCTGATGAGAGCCCTCTCTCCAAAGTAGTCCCCGACTCCTAATGTCTTGATTTCTTGGGGTTTAACAAATCCCTCTGTGCTTTGTGTGACTACCACCTATATTTGAAAAAGAGAGA